GGAACATGGGCATAAGCAAGGGAGATAGGCATGATGCCTGTCTCCCAAGGAGCCTGGACATCCCAGGCTCATGATGTCATGATCTGTCATGGAGAAACCTGTTTATGGTCATCTGTTTTAATCTTCAAAGTGATTCTGTAAATTAGGCCAGCATTGCATGCTTGTCACAGATGAGGAAATACAAGTTAACTGAGATCACGTAATTAGTACATTCATAGTCAAGGTTCTGGTGTCTTTTGACTCCAAGACACCTTCTCTCTCTACCATGTTGAGTCACCATAAAGGATCAAATCAAAACAAAGTTTTAAGTTTTTATAAAGGTGCCTTTTTAAAAATGAAACCCAGCCCCTGGTGCCAGTGTCACACTGTGCTATAACTATTTGTTCCCTGAACCAGGCAGGATTCTTTGACAATAGGAGTTTTCCTTTTTAACTTTTTATTATGAAAAATTTCAAACTTATGCAAAGTAAGCAAACCCCCATGCATACAACTTCCACAATTATAAGTGTTCTGTCATTTCTTTTAAGATTTAAAAAATGTTTAATTGTAAAATATGTGTAAAATTTCTCATCTTAATCATTTTTAAATGTACAATTCAGTGACATTAAGTACATTCAGATTGGTGTACAACCAGCTTCCTTTCATCTCCAGAACTTTTTCATCTTGCAAACCTGAAACTCTGTCCTACTAACTCCTCACTGCCCTGCACACTCTAAGTACGCTGTACCAGTGGAATTATATGGTAGTTGTTTTTTTGTTTTGTTTTGTTTTGTCTGACCTACTTTACTTAGCATAATATCTTTAAGGTTCATCCATGTTGTAGCATGTGACAGATTCCTCCATTTTTACAGGTTAAAAATGTTCTATTGTGTGTAAATACCATATTTTGTGTATCCATTCATCTGTAGGTGCACTGTGGGGTTTCTTTCATCTTCTGGCTATTGCTGCTATGGATAGAATGCCCTGCCATTCTTGTGTCATCTCTATTTTCATCCACTCCCCTTTCCTCATCCAGTTATTATTATTTATAAGAACTGTGTTTTATTTATCTTTTTATTCCTCCTATACAGAACCTGTCACATAGGAACTGCTTTTTAAATGTTTGGATGTATGTATGGATCTTCCAACATCGTTTTGTTTTTTTAATTTTAAGCAAGGTCTATAAAGAGGAAACTGACAGGTGTTTCTGCCCCCTGTCTCTAAGAATTTCACAGTGAAAATACATGATTAAAATTACATTTATAAAAGAAAATAACGATTTACTACTTTAAGTGTGGGTCAGCAGAACAAGGACAGTTGCTGAAGAAGCTGTTGGGAGGTGGCATTTTCACACCGGCACTGACAGTGCTGAGGATAAAGTCATTTATTTCTGGAATTCTCAAAAACCTTTGGAATCACCAACTTCACCTGTTAACAAAGACTCAACTCATTAGCGATGGAGTTTTTGATTGATTCCATGTGTCAAGAAGATAATCCAAGAGTGAAACTTGTCTTTTTGTAACAAAGTCTTTGATAGGCTTGAGCAGCTGTGTTGCACTGTCCTTCGGGTCATGGATGAAAACTCCACTAATGCCATCTAAGCGCGAATGCTCACGGCCTGACTTCCAGGCATTAACATCACCACCAGCCAGTAGCCCCAGCATCTAGAGTGTCACCTAAGAAGACAAGAGGTTTAATCAATCTAGTAAGAGAACTAAATCAGCCCTTCTTGCAAGGAAGGGAATTGACGAGACACCTTGCCTCACTCCTCTGCACTACAGGGGGTAAGCGTGGGGAGTGGCCATGCCAGTTGCAGGACAAGGATGGACAAGTAGGAAAATGGCACTGGGTCCTCACCTTGGACTTGTGACAGGAAGAGCCTTCGCAGCAGTTTACTTACTCCCTGAAGCAGCTTGTGTCTGAAAGACTGCACTGTGTGTCCAGGAGAACCTGAAGGGAGGTTCTACCTTTAAAAAGAACGTTCCTGGGTTGGGCATGGTTGTGCACACCTGTAATCCCAGCAACTCAGGAGCTGAGGCAGGAGGATGGCAAGCCTGAGGCAGCCAGCCTGGGCAATGTAGGATAAATCTCAGTGATTGAACACCTCAGGGTTTCAATCCCCAGTACCGGGGCAAGAGAGAGAGAGAGAGCACACCCCTGCTCTCCAGCAGGTATCTGAGGGCAAACAGAACTGAGACTTCAGAGTAAAGCCACCTCTACTATCACCCATGTGTGTGATGGAGACCACTAAGAGTTAGACCCTAACTTTACCATTTCCAAGTCACCCAGGTTACCTCAGTTATTTCTGTAAATGTTGAGTGTGATTCCTGATTCACTGAAGTTCTCAAATTGGTAAACAGAACTGTGAAGTGTGTAGCACTTCAGAGCTTGCTATCAGATGACGCACACTGTGATTCATGTCATTGTCTTAGAAAGGGAGTCACTTGAGGGGAACGAGGCCTCTGTGAGAACACTGAGCAGGACTGAGTGACTGCAACACAGAGACCTGAGTTTGGGAGGAGAGTCCAGGCAGACGGAATAGAACTGGTGAAAACAAGGAAAAAAGTGGGAACAGATATGGCATATGATCAGAGCATAATTTGGCACAATAGGTATATAGGTAGCAGAGGCAAAGGGACATGTGGACTCAGGGAAAGAAAGGCAGGGTCAGCTCGGAAAGGATCTGCTTGCCCAATTTAGGAGCACGTCCTTTCCTCCCCACGCAGAGTGCCTGGGATATGCCACATCTGTCATTACATGTGCAGGGTTGAGCAAGTATCATTCATGCCCTCGTGAAGCATCTCGTTTAGTAGAAAAGAACATGCATGAATCAGATCATCACACAGAGGTGACATCTGTGCAGTCCTACTCTCGAGTGGGATATTCACATGGTCCAGTTTGCATTTTAGAACTTACTCGGGCTAGAAAAATTGGAGTAGACAATAAGGAATGAGACAGGAGAGGGACATAGAGGTGAGCCAGCAATCCAGGCTTATGCCAGGGTGCTGGATGGCAAGCAGGGAATGAGCATGTGAGACTCTTCACAGGTGGATTGGAAGGACTTGGAAGTCTGATAGATCTGTGGTGGCCCGTAAGAATACTGGGAATACTGCTGATTAAGAAAGAAGGAAAAGCAGGTTGAGGTGTAGTTCTGATGGAATAATAATTAAGAGTGTGGGCCATTTTGAATTTGAAGTGCCAGTGCATTCTCCAGGTGTGGACTGATGCGTGTAGATTTGGAGGTGTGGAAAGGTAACTGAACTGAAGATGTTTATCTGGAGTTGCCAGGATTCAAGTGATACTGTGCCATGGATGAGATCATCTGGAGAGAGAATAGCCCTGCCATGGTCCCACGGGTGAGAAGCAGAACTTCCAAGCCACAAGAATGGAATTCCAGCTGGACTTCTGTTTATCATCAGTAGCTGGTCCTTTGGCTATTTGGCAAGGAAGATGGCAGTCCCTGCCAAAGTAATAAATGTTATGAACAGCTCTGTCTTTTTTTCCAGAGAACTAATTTTTTTTCTCATACACAATACAAAGTTTGATTTTTTTTCCTTCTTGCTTTGATAGCCAGGGAGCTCAGAGCTAACTTTGTAACCTAATTTTAGAAACTGTATAGGACCTATGTACCCAGGCACCCTATTCCCAAATAAATACATTTTATATAATTATGTATTTCCCAACCCTGATTTTTCTTTGTAGTCTTGGGTGCTTACATAAGGTGCCTCGGGTCCTTTGTAAAAGTTGGTAGTGCATACTATATAAAAATACTCCTTCCCCTGACCCTCGAGTTCTTGGGTCATCCTCCAGCCTGTGCAGTGTTTGCCCAGTTGCTGAGACTAGTTGGCTAGTTGTCAACTAGACTGAATCAGGAGGAACTCTTGGAACTTAGAGAGCTAGACAGTAAATTTAACACTCACGTAACTCATTAAAAAAGGATGAAAGTGGAGCTTCAAACATCTCTGTGTTTGCCACCAAGTCTGTGAAGGGGTGGGGGCACCCTTAATTCAACTCAAGATGTAAAAGCCCGATCTTTCAGAATTGAGAATACACTGCTGAAATTAAAGACTTATCTATGTAGATAAATACTCCACATGTGTTCAAAGAGAGATCGAGGTGTTGACTGTACAGGATGGGATTTTTAAAGCATAGGGTATCATTTTCTTGACTTATAAAATGTAGTTTGGTGAAAGCAAACTTCTTTATCAAACAACTTTTAAGCACAAATTGACTTGATGGGGGGATAGATTTTATTTTTGATCATCTTGCTTTTTAAAATAATTAATTATTTTTAAATTTTAGGCTGGGCATGATGGTGCATGCCTGTCATCCCAGCTTCTCAGAAGGTTGAGGCAGGAGAATGTGACTTTGAGGCCAGCATGACCAACTTAGCAAGACACTGTCTCCAAAACAATWAAATAAAATAAAATGATAATTTGCTATAGGTAACAATCAGCATAAGTGGTTTTCAAACTGTGTTCCACAGCTGGTGTCCTATGAAAAACAAAGGTATGTGAGAGATGGGAGTAAGGAGAAGGCCACCAAGCAAGGAGAGCCCAACTGTGGCTCCCCTCCTCCCAGCTCCCAGCACAGCAGCTCAATTCTGCCTTATGTAACAGGCTTTTTCTGCCTGAGTATCTATCTGAATATAATGTTCTGCTCCTAACACTGGAAATAAACCAAAAAAAAAAAAAAAAAGTTTGGAAATCATCATAGTGGAAGACATATTCTCACTAACTTGCTATTGAGATGTGACTGTCACTAATACAGAAGGGGAGGAATGGGGGCTTTGGAATCTGACCCTGAGTTCCCGCTGTACCTCCTCATCTTCTGTGATTGGGGGTTGGTCCTTTCTTGAAATAGTGTTCCCACCCCTAGACTAGAATGACTTACATAATAATGACAACTTCACTAATGAAAATTAGGTAAATGAGCAGATGTGAAAGCGGCCAGAAGGAGGGTAAGCACTGATTCCTTTCCCTTCAAGCCTCCAACCCTCCTGTCCCTTCTTCTTTTCCCAGGAGGAACCCATCACCTTCTGTGAAGAAGCCTTCGTTTCCCACTATCGCTCTGGAGCCATGAGGCAGTTCCTGCAGAATGCCACACAGCTGCAGCTCTTCAAGCAGGTGCCCAGCTTCCCTGGGGGCCTGCATTTGTCCCAGCAGGGATTTCTGCAGCTGCCTTCACACTGAGCCCTGAGACTGAGCAAGGAGGGGACCCAAACCTTCAGGCCCAGGGGAGGGTGACTGGATGAAGAGGGTGGYCAGTCATCAGACAGTCCCTTAGCAAACATGATGGGAGGTTTTCTAAGTTTCATAAATGTGTCGCCAGGTTCGTAGAAAACTCAGTGTTGAAGGGCCTTTCCTATATTGGAAAGCATGGCTGTTCTTTGGGCATGCACCGAGGTCCCCAACTGGATGGTTTTTCCTGTTTCTGTAGACAAGCTGTTGTGCTTTTGCTTTTCCTCTAGTTTATTGATGGTCGATTAGACCTTCTCAATTCTGGCGAGGGTTTCAGCGATGTTTTTGAAGAGGAAATCAACATGGGCGAGTATGCAGGTGAGAAGCCTCCTTTTCTTTCTGGGTTGTGGATGCTGTAGGCCAAGGTGTTCTTGCCACAGATGGGCGTGGACTTCATTTCTCCATAGTTAGGGATTGGGAGGAGACTGGTTGCAACCTTGGCCTTAAAACAGCTGGAGAATTCCTCTTCAGATTTCATGCGATGCACATTGGCCCATATGAACCCTCTGCTTAGGAGTTAGCTGTTTCTGCTGGGTAGAGGCTATTTAAAATGTAGTAGCCTGTATGATGCAGGGAAAGCACATGAGATATTGAATTAGGGGACTTGGGTTCAAATCAGAACCCTGTCCCCTTGCCAGCTGCTTGTTTAAACACTGAGAGCAACACACTGAGTTAGGCCTCTTTCTTTACTACCCAACTAAAAGCTCCTTGAGGGCAGAATTGGGTTTACACACTGAGAGCAACAGTGCACACCCCACAAGATTCCCGAGGAGTTGGGATCAGAGCAGGGTGTAGTCACCCAGGATAGTCCTCAGTATAGGGCCAGTGCTCAGTAACTGTTTCTTTAAAATGCAAAAGTCATTGCTTGATGCCCGGTCTCTTTAAAACTGGGGGATTGTCTTTAATTTTTCAGGGATGGCATCTGAAGCCCAGAGAGATTCTAACTGACCCTACCTCCTGAATCCCAACCTGGCCTTCTTCCTAGGTCCAGTGAGTGGGCTCAGTCTTTGGCAGCAAGAATAATAACTTATAGACTTAGTCTTTGGATGTAATATAATAATACTTATACTGCCAGCCCCTCTTATTGCTGGACATATCCAGTCTGAATCATTCAATAACTCGAGCAGTGTACAATCCCACAAAACCAGGCATGGCTTCCACCTGTGGGTATTACAGGGCCTAGCAGCCTGTGCTGCACGGGGAACACAGTTGATTAATAAAACCAGTATGGTGGCTGCAGTCACTAATGGCAGATTGTTGACAAGCATTTCCTGAACCCCTGTGTCCCGAGTTGGTAAATAATGGAGGACTTAATTCTGCCTTCAAGGAGCTTTTAGTTGGGTAGTAAAGAAAGAGGCCTAACTAAAGACAGATAAAAATTAAATGAGTGCAGGTAAAGGAGTAGAAACAGGTTTTTGTTCAGCTGGACTAGGACTCTCACTGCATACTGTGGGAGCTTCCCAAGGGGACAGGGTTTGAGTTGGCTTCTCACCATAGGATATCAGTTCCAAAGAGAAGTTGAGTTTTGTGTGTGACTAAACTAAGTTCAGTCATTCAGAGCTTCTAATAGAGCTGTCTCCTCATGAGACCTCCTTAACCCACCAGATGAAATAAGCAGAGTTCACCCTCAATGCCTCTTTTTTTTCTTTTTCTGTCACTAATCAAGTGTACTAAGGGCTGAGTTGTGTCCGGAGGGTCCCTACATGGAGACACACAGCTCTGGTGGTTCCTGCTCTGGCATGGGTCATACTACATCTAACAATTAGGACTTATAAGTGGGTATTACCTGTACTAGAGGGCTCTTCAGAGGAAGAGGAAGAGGAGGAGGCTTCTGGAGAAAATGATATTTCAATTGGTTGTTGAGCTTACTGAGGCAGAGAGAATAAGAAATGGTACCCAGGCACAGGAACAGCATTTGCCAGTGCTGAAGGACTGAGAGAGAGAGACTACTGTTTGGGAGCCCTAGGTGGTATTTTGTGTTGGAGCAGAGGCAGTACAGAGCATAAGCACAGGACAGAGTGGCAGAGAGTGGGGAGGCCAAGTCAAGAGACGAGGGGAGAAGGGCAGGGTTGCTCTGGAGACTGACCTCACTCCAGTAGGCAGTGGGGAGGCTTTTGAGGGTCTGAAGTCAGGGCACTGATATGAACAGCTCTCTATTTGAGCAAGAAAGCTATGACCATGACTCACTACTGCCTTCTTCATGGAGTGGGACATGGAGTCTCCAGGTGGTTCTCTAGACTTTGAACTTTCCAAGTCCTGCATGCTGAAAGCAATTTAAAGAACTCTTTAAATCACAGTCTCTCTGATTCTCTTTTCCCAGGCAGCGATAAACTATACCATCAGTGGCTCTCTACCGTCCGGGTAAGTATGCCCCATTCAGAGCCACATGGCTTCCTCCTTGGCCTTCTGGCAGCCCTCTGCCTCCCTGGCTACCCACAAAGCTTCTGTGAGGCCCAGAGCACCCCATTCTTCCCACCAGAAGTTGCTTTTGTCTTAAAACTAGGCCATTCTGTCCAAGGGCTCTCTTGTTGGGGCAGAGGGAGGTAGGAGAGAGTCTTCCTCTTCAAGAAGCCAGCCAAAGCCTGTTGAATTGAATTTTGTCATCCTAGAATGTTTCTGGGAGTCTCCTTCTAGGGCCAGTGCTATTGTCACAATCATGGGGCAACCAAAAATGTGTCCCTCTTGCTGTTCTGAAGTATTTTCCGCAGCAAAGGCTCCTGGGAAGATGAAGAATACATCCCTGATTTTTTTCTTCTCCTCACTGTTGTTATTATGCTACAGTTTCTTATTGTGTCAGGAGCCAGGTGGTTAGGATTTCCAGAACCTCTACAGGATTCAAATCTTGCCTAACYTTTCCATCCATTTACATTTGAGTATGTACTGAAGGCCTACTCAGTGCCAGGCAACAGCTGTGTCTTGGGGATACAGAGGGGAGCAGGACACAGGCCCTTCCCTGGGGGGAGTGCCCCCATCTTGTTGGGGAGGCAGGCACGTAAACAAGCAGCTCCAACATAATGTGATAAGTGTTCTCTCCTGCTTCAGGGCCAAGTGCACCACTGCCAAGGCAGGTCCCTTGGAAGTGGCTGCATTTGGCCAAGAGTGAGCAGCAATTCCTCAATGAAAGCCTTCCTTTGTCCTTCTTGTATGGCCAAACACAGCACTTGGCATATCTGAGGTGAGCAATAAGGACTTGCTGATTGATTGATAAAGGGGGTTTCAATACTCCAAACATCCATTTAAATAGGATCCTGAGTAATTGTGGAAGGCAGTATGGAATAAATGAGTGGGTGAGAATTTGCTATTGTCAATGTAGATCTCTTTCTGGGTCAAATTGTGATGTTTTTAATTAAAGTCCAAAATTTTTAATGTGGGCAGTAACCAAAAATTGTACTAAATGTTAAGTCAATAATTACATTACTGTCTTATTTGGTTATGTACCCACTGGTTCCAGTCTCTCCATTCGAATCAGTTGGATTAACTTTCCAAACCACCACAAATCAGATTATATGATACATTTGATTAAAAACTTTCCAGAGCTTTGACCCCTTAGCCAGACATTCCCAGCTTCTCTTGAGCTGTCCCCATAAGGCCCCCCAGCCTGGCTCTGCTCTTCCTGAGATACAGTCCATACCTGCATACAGCATAGTCACTGCCTGTCACTCCTACAATATAGCGCCGCTTTTTGGCTTCTGCACTTTTTTCTGTGCTACTTCCTATCTCAAGAATGTTCTTATCCTCCTGCTTCCTCCCTACTCGTCCTTCATGGGCCAGGTCAATTGTATTTTGATCTRCTGCCTTCCCTGACCTTCCCTGTTTCTGTGCTCCCTGTATGCAGTCATTACAGCTCTCATCACCTGACGCTTCAGCTCTTTGCCCCAGCATGCCTTGCCCTCCCCAGACTGCATATCTTTAAGATAGAGACCAGGTATCCTTTGGCTCAAGGCCCTCAGAGCCTAACACAGTGGGACCTCACCACACCTGTAGGGATGAGACTAAAGAACAGGCTTATGGATAGCTCTRGAAACATGGTCCACTCCCTAAAGACGATGAACAAGACATTGGTGTGGTAGATTTGTACTAAAGCCATGTTAACATTATGGCCGTTCATTCTTTCCTTCTCTAAAGATTTATATGTTAAGGAAGGCAGCCTACCAGAAGTATTTTAAAAAACAGTAACACAGAAAACTCAGGTGAGGAAAGGAAGTTGCCTGGGTGAGGGCATTATATTTCCCAATGGTCCTGGTTGATCAGGACCCAATTTTCTGCCCCAGCTTGGTGTCAGCTGGAGAATTCACAGCCATGAAACTTACCTGAATGCAGTAACTAGAAAGCTTTGAAAAGCTGCCTGACTGTGAGATAAACCTTACCTAAGAGAGCCTGGGACAGGAAACAAGTGCARATTAGAACACTGAGCCTAACACCCCCCTCAACTAGTTATCACAGTACTCATTGCACATACACACACCCAGAGCAATTCTGCCATAACCCTATGACTGCCCCTGACGGTAACCATCTGGGCCTGTTTCTCTACTTACATCCTATGCCCTTAAAATGTTGCCTGACTTGATTAAAGAGAGGAGGACTTTGTTGGTGTTGGCCTACTCTGTCTTCAGCCCACATTGCTGATTGGTGTTTTTATTATAGAAAGGAAGTGGAGCAATTCTGAACACTGTAAAAACAAAAGCCAACCCAGCCATGAAGACCGTCTACAAGTTCGTAAGTACAGGTGTTAGTCTCAGGATACAGGCAGATCAGTTCCTTAGCATGACCAGACTCTTAAATACACCCAGTCCCCTATTATAGAGCAACTTGGGAGCTGCTGTGCTATTTCCTAATGACATTAATGCTCTGATAATTATTTAGCATTGTTTTTCTTATGACTAAGTCAGTGATCTTTCTAATTTAAAGTATGGCTGGTCACAGTCACTGCAATAGAGAAATGGGAGGCTACTGGTTTTAGCTTTTAAATTATGGACTGATCGCTAAAATTCAGACTGCTCCATGTATTCCTGAGACCCAGAGGCAAGGTCTATCTAGTGTCCTAACATACCTTTCCTATTTGTGTCCTCATTATTATGTCAAAATGAAGCAGCTCCTTTGCAGGTTACTGAAGAGTGTGGCAGGAATACCCCCTAATTTTTGTCCCAATTCTTCATCATCTCTCTCATCACTGCCCTATAGGAAATGCATTATTTGTGAGACTCGTGCCCACGGCAGAATGAAAATAGGAGAACCCATCAGTTCCTGGTGCTCCATCTTTTACAAGCCTCAAGTATTTTTTCTTGTGATTTCTCTTGCTTGCTAATTTGACCCTGAGCCACTAAAATGGGGTGGTTTTGAGTTAGTTTTGTTTTTAATTATGGTAGTCCTTTCTGTGCTTAAATTGTAGCTCTTATAACAGGGTAGGTGGCTGTCAACACTACCAAACGGGTCTAAAATGGCATAAAGTAAAAGCAAGTGGTGTCCACAGAAATGAGACCTAGGAAATGGCATCATGGAAACCCAGTAGTGTGTCTGTATGGACATTCAGCCTGGGCAGAAAATTGGCCCTGAGGCCCTACCATTGTGGAATAGAATGGATATTTTGATTCTTAAGCAGCCAGTGAAGCTGCCCTTYTACTCTTACTGGTAGATGTTACCAAGCTGCTGAGACAAATAATTAGAGAGCGCCCAAGAAGGGCTTGAGAAGGGGGGGGTGTGGAATCTGTGCCATCAAAATGTAGAAAATACAATCTCTGCAACCCCTTTAGGGGACTTTTTTTCTTAACCTTTTACTATTGTATTTGTTTTCATAGCCATTATGTTTTCGACTTGATGATCCCATTTTTCCTTCCTTTTTCTAGTAATCAGAGAAGGTGATTCGCGATGGACTGAAATCAAGCATAGTCCCTGCTGGAAACAGAAAGGGAATCTTAACTTAAATTAATTTTTCATGCAGGCAAAAGATCATGCAAAAATGGGAATAAAAGAGGTGAAAAACCGCTTGAAGCAAAAGGTACTTGAAGTTCTTATTCAAAATGTATAAGCACCGTGTATGAAATGCGTGGCCACAAAAAAGTAGGATGTGATCAATAGAGGGCTGTTTGATACAGTGTTGTTAGCACACTTCAAAATGCATTACCAGCTGTCCGGGAGTTTTCACACTGTTATAAATATTCACAGACAAAAAACTGTCTTCAAATAACATTAAGACTCTGGCGTAAACCCACAAAGGCGAGCAAGTTCAGCGTTACCACTATTGGTCTGTCCCCTCCCTGCCCCACCAGGCCTGGAGTTCACAGATACCCTTAGAAATTAGCTCAGACACATCCCAGCACCACTCCCTTCCTCCAACTGCCCTCTGCCCCTATGCTTGTCATAATCCAAACCAAGAAATCCCTAGGGAAGAACCGCCCTGGACCCATGGTGCACATGGCCACCGTGCAGATACATGCAAAGGGGAGCTGGAGGAGGGTGCTGCAGACTCTCCCATCATGGTGTAAATGAGAGAGGAGCCCAGCAGTGTGTTTGAGACTCTGCACAGGGAAACAGTGGCTCTGATTGTCTTCTTGGACCATCATTAAGATTATATGAAGTCACACTGGCCATTCCCAGCACAGATTCTGCCAACCTGAATCTCTAGACATTACGTGAGGCTACTATGACTAGGAGAGGATTTTCACATGATTGCAACGTGATTATTATTGCCACCCTTTGTTAAGTACTTGTTAAGGATGGCCCAGGCCAGGAGCTCTCGCATTTTTTTTTTTGAGAGAGAATTTTTAATATTTATTTTTTAGTTCTCGGCGGACACAACATCTTTGTTGGTATGTGGTGCTGAGGATCGAACCCGGGCCGCACGCATGTCAGGCGAGCGCGCTACCGCTGAGCCACATCTCCAGCCCCAAGCTCTCGCATTTAATCCTTAGAACAACCCTGTGTAGTATTATCCCGTTTCATGAGCAAAGAGATTGTGGTTCAGAGGTGAAGTCATTTGCCCAAGGCCACACTGTGGAAGCCTAGCAGAAATGGGATTGGATTCCAAATTCATGGGCTCCCAGCTTCTGTGCACTTGCTATAGTGCTTCACACTACCTTCCTAAAACAAGTGTTTGGTTTTCCAAATGATAGCTGGGGTTACTTACTTCATTATCTCTAAGTCCCAAATGTATCACTCTTAACAAGGGCCTTTGTCTGTCTTGGCAGTTTTTTTTTTWAAATTGAAAGCAGTTTCAATTTTATGAAGTCAGAAAGGACCTCTAATTAACTTGAAATAGTCGAAGGAATTGATTCCCTTCTTTTAATTGGAAAATAATTTGCTCCAACTAAGCATTTAAATTCTTAGTTTCAGCTGACAATGAATTCTTAACAGCTGAGATTCACCTCCTGCAATACAAGCCCTGTACTGTGAACCCAGATAGCCCTTGACTAGCCTGCCAGGGGCTGGCAGGTAGGATTCTTCACCTGGATGGTGTTTGAGTCACTAAATATAGCTCTTCATCTCCTATCCCAGTGGCATGCATCCAAGTGGCAGAGAGGGGGCTTCTCCTCTTCTGTGTCTTCTGTGTCTCTTCAGGGGAGAAATATCACCTGAAGTAAGCAAAGACAGGAGTCCCTCCTCAAACCCCACACAAATGTGGCGCATGATTCCCACTTCCTCTCTGCAGACCATGAAGCTGGAGGCATCATCTTACCTTCCTACTAGAGTGTGCAGGCATCTGGCCTCCAGAAAACCCCCTTTCTATGAAAGGTACCCTTTCTGGAAAAAAAAAAAAAAAAAACAGTAAAGCCCAGTTTTTTTAATGTGTTTGTTCAAAGTTCATTTAAACAATCTAGATTACGTTCTTTCCATGCCACCTCCCATTCTGTTCCTTGCTGGTGTCTAAGCCGATTTTCCCCTCCCCTTCTCTTCCCCCTGCCAGTCTTTTCAAGAATAGCTTCAGGAGATAATGTTCTATAGAGAGTGTCAGTGTATTTCAGGTGACACAAGCGGTGAAGGCATTTTATAGAAATGTGGCTTGTCACCATTGGACTGTTGACAGATCTATTAGTGCACCCTTTTCAATTTTCACTTTTCCCCCCTTTGCTCGTACAGATTTCCACAGACTTGATATTTTGCAGTTGTTCTTGGAAGAGCTGTTTTGTAATTGAAACTCTAGCATTGTTCAGTACATGCAGGCCCCGGGTCTCCAGCGCTCTCCAACTCTCTTTCTTGAGCTAATTTAGGATTTGGCTTCGCCTGACCTCTCTCACTGCAGTGGAAAATATTTCCTTGACTTTTTTCTTCCTCTCCCTTCCACCCTCTCCCCTTTACACAGAACCTATCTATGTGGCTCCCCAGAAGCATCTAATACAGACATCTCAAGTTTGGTTTCTGCTCTGAAATTGAGGCAGTTCCCAACAAAGATCCAATTTTCAAATGTACTGGGTTGCCACCTCACCTCCTCTAACTCTGCATAGCAATGGTGACCTCGCAGATATAATCAAGAACCTAGTCTTGCCCTCTTTGCTCTTGCCTTGGGTTTGAATTGCAAATAGAAAATGTGGGGCTGACCTGTGGAGAGGTCATCACGGTGTGTGGAGGGTCCATCTCTAATGTGACTGAGCAGGGCCCCTTCTCCGTCCCTTGTTCATTTGTGCTGCAGATTTTCAAAGCATCTGAAAGAGGAGCTTTCAGGATATCTGTGACCATTGGCAAATAATTGTTCATAGATCCTATAGCATGGCTTTATTCCACACCTGCTCTGCTTCTGCCCAGCAACAAAAAAAGAAAGATGGAGAACATATTTCTCTGGATAAATGGAGCAAGGTGGTCAAGTTCTGCTCCAGTTTGGCCTCCTTTGAAATCTGACTTGCTCAAAATTAGGAAGAAGAAATGGCAAGGATGCGATGTAGCTGTCACTTCCTAGGGGAGAACATGGTGCCTCCATGGAGAGTGTGGCCCTGCCAAACCCGCTCTGCAGAAGAATGTCAACAAATTGCCTTCCACTGCGGCACCGAGCCATGCTGACATGAGGGGACCCTGTTTTAAGTGTAGCCACATAACCTTCCCTCACCTGCAGGGAACATTCAAATACATAAGGATGTCTTTCTGTGCCTACTGAGGAATCCCTAAAATTTTTATCTTTTTTCTTTAGTATCCGAATATGTAACCAAATGGGCCCATTTCACAGCCCTTTGTATAGTTTCTAAATCCCTGATCTTTTAAAGACAAGTCAAGCTTGTTTAGAGTCTCCGTGATTGAAAGGAGCAAATTCACAGTTGGCTTGAATTTCTGGCCAAACATTTCTGAGCGCAGTGAAGGGAGTGAGCCAGCACATGAGGGGCAAGGAGAGCCAGGTAGACTCTCATAGCACAGACATTTTCACACCTTATCATACGACTGTCAGCTCCCTGTCTCCAGACACATTAAAATACGCTGCAGCCTCAATCACACAGACTCCAACTTTGGCTACTAGTTTGATATCAATATTCATATTTTAATTTACATTTGGTGTGGTGGGAGGTAGGCTGGGAAAAGGAGGACGCAGCATGAATCTCAAAGTAGAGAAGGTAGCACTCCCATCAGCAAACTAAGTCAGACACAATACTGCTGCAGCCTCACACCTAGGGTGCCTTTAAACTCCTCCAGACAGAAATGTGGCATTTGAGCTTCTGAGGCAGAAAAGCCAGTTCAAAGCTGGAACATTAACTGTGTGGCCTTGGGTGAGTTATTAGACCTCTCTGAACCTAGTTTTCCTCATCCATAAACTAGGGGAAATACCAATTTTTGTTGGGTTGTCAAAAGGATTAGAAGAGGGGCTGGGGATGTGGCTCAAGCGGTAGCGTGCTCGCCTGGCATGCGTGCGGCCCAGGTTCGATCCTCAGCACCACATACCAACAAAGATGTTGTGTCCGCCGAGAACTAAAAAATAAATATTAAAAAAAAAACAAAAGGATTAGAAGAGATAATGTGTTTAAACAGCAGCACTTAGTAGCCCCTCCACAGATGAGAGTAGTGATTCTGAGTGTTTTCTTATATCTCACATCCTGATAAATAGCTTCATGTTGCTCATGCCACCATTAGAGCAAGGTGTCTAGAACAGCTCTGAGGGAGCCCTCCCTTGGTTATGACCTTCCCAACCTTGCAAACCTCCCACCTCATTGCCCAACAGGGAGAAGGACACATCAGCCATTCCATATGAAGGCTCTGCTCTCCACCTTCTATCCCTCCTGTCCTCCTCAGCTCCTCCAAGTCCACACAGACCCCTGCTGTCCTTGTAGATCCTGAGAGTCTGAGTTGCTGCCTCCCTGACTGCTCATGGAGGTCCCAGGACATCTCAGACCCCTTCTTACCTATCTTCTCTGAAAAGGTGGAGGTTAGCTCTGACGGACTTTTTATCGCACAAAACACTTAGGGAAGATAATAGGAATAGAATTATATTCCGCCTCTTTCATCACTACTGAGGGATGAGGTGTGGTAGAGCCCCTGTGCTCAGAGCCTCAGGGCTCCTGAGAGAGATTTGCCACCCTGCAGTGGCCTCTGATCTGCAGCTCTGTCTAGTGTCTTCCTTCTGTGTGACCCTTCAGGAAGGAATAGGCTTACCCTTCCCATCAGCCTCTTGCTTTTGCTTTTTAAAAATGACATTTAGAAGGTCAGTTTTTCCCTGTTTGCAAACAAAATACATGTTTATTGAAGAAAATTCAACAAATCAGAGAAGCAAAAAAACAAATTATCTCATTTCATAGCCTACATTTTCACTTAGTATATCCTGAGCATAACCCAGGCCACTATATATTTCTTCCATTTGTCATTGTTTTAAAGGGCTCCAAAAATTTTATCTGATGGGCACCTAAGTTCCAATTTTTTCGGCAAATATTCTCATGAGACTGTSCAGCAATTTTTATTCTTTAGTTACTATAAGTGTCTAAAAATGAAATTGGTGGGCCAAAGGACATGTGCATCTTTTAGGTCTTTTGTATAAATTGCCAGTTTGCATTCCCACCAGAAGGGGATGAGAACCTACTGCCCAGGTCC